CCCAGCCCCACCGCCTGTACCCCGGGAGCTGGGAGCGGGGCTTTTAGAGAGGGAGGGGTCCCTTCCACCCAGGCTCTGTGTGGACACATCCCTGAGAGCCCCAGAAGGAGGCTGCATACATGAATCACTGCTTATGGCAGAAGACGGAGGATGTGGACTTTCTGCAATTAACAATACCCTTGAAACTTCGTTTTGTCCCTTTTTGTTGGAAAAATGAGACTAGCATAAAAATTACATCAGTGGTGAAAAAGAAAGAGGCGGTTAAGGTAAAATGAAGCCTTCAGGGGGGCCCCGATCCAGTCTGAGTGGCACCGAGAAAGGAGAGGTTGGGGCCGAGGCGGGGACGCGGAGCAATGACCCCTGAGCCTGCAACCCCGCCTCCAGCACCGCGGAACGGGAGGTCCTGGGTTCAAGGCTCCCAGACTGTGGTCTGGGTTCCGCGGCCGAGCAAACTAGCCCTCACGCTTTTTTTTTGTTTGTTTTGTTTTGTTTTTTGCTTTCTTTCTCTTCCTAGGTCGTCTGTCGCACGAAAGCAGAAAGCACACCCGTGCGCGCCACCTGTGTCTCCAGGGCCCGGAGGATTCCCGGCGCCCTGGGGCCCCCGCGGGGGCGTTCGGGCGGTGCGAGGGCGCAGGCGCGAGCCCAAGCCTGGCTGCTCGCTGTAGCCTTGGCCACAAACGGCCCCGCCGTGCACACGGCCCCACTGTGCACACGGCCCCACTGTGCACACGGCCCCGCGGTGCACGCGGCCCCGCCGTTCAAGTCAAACAGGCCAAGCCCAGCTCTTGCCTAACGAGCTGCTTCAAACTTACTCACCGGCCGCGGACTTGGCGCCTCGGCGGCTCCTCCCGCCGCCCTCCCGCCCAGCGCTCTGTCTTCTCGGTTCTTCTGTTTCTAGACACTTCTGCAAGCCCAGCCCCCGCCCCCTTGCGCCTTCTCGGCGCTCAGGCGGTGGCCTCCCTGCCGGGTCCGCCGCAGCCCCCGGGCAATGCGGGGTTCAGGTTCGGGGCTGGGCCCGGGCGCTCTCTCCCGAGGGGTTGAAGGGGTGAGGGGGTGAGGGGGTGAGGATGCCCGACGCCCGGGGCGCGCAGCTGCGCGGGGCCCTGCGCTCCTCCAGCACGGGTGAGCCCTGCAGGCCAGGCCCGGGGAGGCTGGGGGGGACTCCGGGGGTGCTGGGGGGGCTCTAGGGGGTTCCGGGGGGCCCAGGGGGGTTCCAGGGAGCTCCGGGGGCCTGGGGGTGTTCCAGGAGGCTTGGGGGGGTGGCTCAGGGGGCTCTGGGGGGACTCAAGGGGGCCCGGGGGGTTCCGGGGGGCCTCAGGGGTTCCAGGGAGCTCCGGGGAGGGGGCTCAGGGGGGCCCGGGGGTTCTAGGGGGCCTGGAGTGTTCCAGGGGTGTTCCGGGGGACGTGGGGGTGTTCCAAGGGGTTCTGGGGGGCTCAGGGGGCTCCGGGGGGTTCCAGGGGAACTGGGGGTGTTCCAGGGGCTCCGGGGGCGCTCTGGGGGGTTCCAGGAGGCTCCAGGGGGCCTGGGGGGTGTTCCAGGGGGCTCCGGGGGCGCTCTGGGGGGTTCCAGGAGGCTCCGGGGGGTGTTCCAAGGGGTTCCGGGGGGCTCAGGGGGGTTCCAGGGGACCTGGGGGGTGTTCCAGGGGCTCCAGGGGGGCTCTGGGAGAGCTCCGGGGGGCCCGGGGGGGCTCCGGGGGCTACGCGGGCTGCTCTGCTTGCTCCCCCCAGGCCCCCCAGGGCCCCCCAGCACCGACACTTCTGGGCTTCCCACCGGCAGCCTCCTGGGGGCCGAGAAAGCAGGGAGCGGCCGGGGTCTGCGCCCCGCAGGGCAGCCCCGGGAGGTCACAGCTCCCCCGCCTGCCGGCCTCGCGGGCGCCCCCTTCCTTCGGTGTAGGGTCTCCCACTCTTGCCCACGCCTCTCACCGCTGTCCTTTCTTTCTTTCTTTCTTTTTTTAAACACTGATTGATTCATGAGAGAGACACACAGAGCGAGGCAGGCCCAGGCCGAGGGAGGAGCGGGCTCCGTGCGGGGAGCCCACGCGGGACTCGATCCCGGGTCGCAGGGTCAGGTCTGGGCTGCGGGCGGCGCTCACCGCCGGGCCCCGGCCGCCGCGTAGTTTTCATTAATGCTCCTGGCGGCGCCGACCCGGCTGCCGGACGTCAGGGCCACCCCCGGCTCTGGAGACATTAGCAGAAGAGCAGCCGGGGAAGAGGGTGACCCAGGGAGGACAGGGAAGGGGAAGGAGCCCCCCCGCCCCCCAAGCGGCCGCGGAGGGCTGGGGGGGCACACGGAGAGCGAGGGATGCTTCCTGTTGCTGCGCCGTGGCCTCTCCTCATTGCTTCTTTTTATACTTTGTAAAAATCCGTGCGGGCGGGTATATTTGAAGTGTTCTCTCTACAAATAATATTTAATATTTTTTCCAGAATGAAGCCCTGCATGAAAGCTAACATTAAAGTTTTTATGTCGGGCGCCTGGGGGTGCTCAGCGGGGGAGCGTGTGCCTCGGGCCCAGGGCATGACCCCAGGGTCCCGGGATCGAGTCCCGCTTCGGGCATGGATCCTGCTTCTCCCTCTGCCTGTGTCTCTGCCTCTGTGTGTGTGTCTCATGAATAAATAAAATTTTTTTAAAAATAAAGTTTTTATGTCTTAATTTTCAAAGAGGATCTGTGACATATATATAGAACGTATAAATGTTTTAACTATGCTAAATTACTACTTAAGTGGAGCACAAGGTATCCGATGGTGAAGTTCAGACAACAGGCCACAAGAGAAGTTAAAACGCAGAGGTTTATTATTCACGGGTCACGGGGGAGGTACACACAGCGAGCCCCGAGGGCCACGCAGGCTGAAGGCAGAGACAGGACTTGGGGCATCTGCCTTATTAGGGTCCGCGGGTACAGTGCTTTGGACTTCCTGGGCTAAGTGAGGCTGGATGGGTCAGTGGGGTTTCGGCAAACCCCGTGGCGCTCTCATCTAAGGGGCAAGGGGGCATTGAGGCCCCAGGAGGTCGGGGAGACTGTTGACCCAAGGGCTGCTCTCCAGGATGTGCACCTGCTTGAGGGGCGAGGGTCAGTTCAAGGTCCCCGCAGGCCACCTTGCAAACAGGATGGATGTTCGGCAGCAATACTATGGAGCAGCTTGGCTAAGCTCCTGACAAAACAACATACATATGTAACATATAAATATAATACGACCTGGGATTTAAGGGAAGTGAGCCGGAAACTGGCAGCAGGATGTGTGCCCGGAAAGAACTGGTGTCCAGGATGACGTGACGTAGTACCAGCACAAGCAGAGTAGCGCTGACAAAAGAGGTCATTTACACGTTCCTCTTAATACTTATCTTTATTATGAAAGTGTTTCCAAAGTAAAATGATCCTCATAATAATGATTGCTTCCAGAGATCAAGAACGAATAATTATATTTTCATATAAAAATCAGCAAAACACAGTTAACAATACATAAAATAATTCTAATTGGCTAACAGTACATCATTCCACTTCTGACAGAGATGCTCAAGCACTGAATTGTCTCAAGAAAACATGTAAGAGTTTGTCACCTATCCTATTTCTCACTGCAAATTGAAAAAAAATCAAATCCCCAAACGAACCCTCTCCCCCTTGCTTGACAACGAATGGCTACAGAGGTGACCGATTCTGTGCGCCCACCAAAAGATGATGAGAAACACAGGCTTAGAAGCTTCATGAAACTTTTGGAAATCAATCTTGGAGGGGGGGGGGATTCCATCTTTAAATTAATGAATCTCTAAGTCAAAGTCCCAGAATTGCCACATAACTAACTGTTCCTATTACAGAGCTAATTTATCTTTGGCAACTAATCTTTAAAAGCCTCTAATTTCTCAAGGGCAGTTTTACAACGACAGTTTAAAAAAATTACTAGAGATCCAAGAGAAAAAAGATGATCTGTATAAAATCTAATTTTTCACTTAACACAGAAATCATACCAATAGCTGTTGTCCCTGGTTTCCAGGCCATGCCACATATAGCAAAATAGGAAACCAAGCTTTCATGGGTGCGAGACTTTTTAAGAAAAATGGAATCAGAGAAAGAAGAGTGGTAAAGCAACTGATCCAAAGTCTTTTGGGAAGTTGATAGCAGATAAGTGACAATATTTTGGTTTCCTCTTATCAAGAGTTCCAGGAGGCTGAGAGGAATGTGGGTGGATGAGATGAACAACACAGATCTTGGGCTAACCGTCCCCTCCCGTCAGTTCCTGGCAATCTTGATAAGAGTCTTGTGAAGACACTGTAAGATGTGCCATCTGGCTGCAGAGACTTTTACTTCTTGGATCTGATGGGGTCTTAGCTTGTGGCCATTTGCTAAGCCATTCCTTTCAAAGGCTTCAGGCTGAATGAACTTAAGTTAGAAATAGCTGGAAAAGGCTAAGGGTCTCCTTTGGGTGTCCACGGATCTTACAAACTGTTACTTATGATGCTTTATGTTTCCTAGGTAAGTTTTCTCCAAGAAAACCAGCATCAGGTATGCTCCCTCTGAGTACACTGTTAGACATTACAACAGCATAGAGTGGACACATGGGCCTCCTCGCGTCTACTAGGCACCCCTTAGGGGAGGGGAGGGGACCATGCACACAAAGGCAGACCACAGGGTCCTCTTCTGGCCTGCTACAATCAAAAACTACACAGTGTGGCCACAGTAAACCAGTACTATCTGCTGCATGTGCATGAATTCAAGAATTGCTTATGGTCACTGAGGGGTTTCCTTTCAGGAGCAGCATGCTAGACAGCAAGTGCAATAATCAGAGCTAACTGCGTTTTCTCTTCCCATACAAGTTACTTAAAAACTAAGTGCCTTGTCATCACTTTTTCATCAGGCTGACTTTGATCTAATTTGGTTTTTTTTTTACATTTCAGGGATACTAATACTTATCTACAAAGCAGGAAATCAGCCAAAGACAAAGAAAAAAAAATAAGCTAATTAGTATCTTAAGACCTCAAATATCCCAGAAAATGTAAACATTTAACCTTTTATTTCCAAAGGATTTCTTGAAGCCTCTCTGGACATAACGACAGCATCACATACACAAACAGAATCTCTTAACACCTTTGGAATTATTCTGTACACTGCAAATTAAGAATACTCAAATATTCAGGCAACTTTGGCATTAACATTTCTAAGAAAGCGACAAAAATAACTATCGATACAAAGTCATGAACAGAAGGAGAACAATCATGGGTGTCCACAAAGTTCTCTCTGAAGGGCTCTTTTGCAAAGATTCAGGAGAACTGAACCGAAATCTCATTTTTTACTTCAGCCTAAATAACAGTGAGGTTCAAATACACCAAGTGGGAGGTCCAGACCCTTTCTGCCTAAGGTAAAAGCATTCAGTTTGCTCAAATGCAACCTCAATCAAATACTCAGAATGGGATGTTGGCAACAGAACTGGACATTTTGAGGTTCACCCACGATTTTGGATAAATGTGGTCTGATTTTATCTCAGTGAAGAGTTATTTCTCTCACCCAACTGCTTGCTTTCTTTGGGGAGCCTACCCACCTTCCTAGTTCATCTTTGTCAGTTACTTGTTCCATTATCTGATGGTACCTCGGGACACCATCTGTCTCGCAGCCTGGCAGGAGTTGGATGTTAATAAAATCTTGGGGTGAAACAGCAACCAAATTCCTTTTTTCTGACATTCACCTTAATCATCCCAAATACTGACAGTTACTCCTCTATTCTCCACCTGTGCACCACTGAATTTGGAAATGTGAACTACATTTGGCTTATATGCTGACCTTAGGCCCTTTGTGATCTTAGCCTAAGGCAAGAGGCTGAAAGGATCCTACCAGTCTCAGCCGGGTGAGTGGCACGAACAGGAAGTTGAGAGGGAGGTGGGAAGTTTCTACTGTACACGGTGGATGGTTTTTAATGAAAAAAATATGGATAAGGATGAGTCAGTGCTATTTTGGTTTTATCATGTTTTTGGAGAAACATACATGTAACATACATAGACCACATTTTCATGTCATCTATTGACCCAAGGCCAAATTCTACTTGACTTTCTACTTTTTTCTCCACTAAGAGATCTAGAAAAGCTATATAGCATTAGAGAATAAAATATTACTTTTTCTAGACTCCTTCCTACACACCCCTTGTTATCCTGGAAAGGTTTGAATACGACCAGGAGGAAGGAGATATCGACATGGGCTAAGTTAATTAATGGGAAACAACACTTTCAGTAACCTACAGTTGAATTTACAAAATACACTTCCAAAGCTATGGCCTGGCACAAGTAGAAGATAAGATAACTCATATTTTTTTTTCTCTCAGTCTTATCATGCCACCATGGGGGAGGAGTAGACAGAAATATATTATTTTTCATCCTAACAGGTCTACAAACACCACTTTGATTAATCAAAAAGAACTCTCTGCCCTAAAATGGAAAAATGAAATAAAAATCTATGGATACACTGGGGACTGTATTAATGTATCGGTCACTGAGGCTCAGTATTCTCAGTCCTCCTTTGAGGTGACTTTTGGGAAAAACAAAAGATTGCTTAGATTTGTATTTGCTGAGGACAGACTCAATTTACTTCATTTCATGCAACTCTGCTAAACCATTAATTTACAAGCCGATCTTCTGAAGTTATTCTTCTGTGGTAGAGTATCAGATGATCCCAATGTGAACACACTGTGGTTCTCTGGTTTATTTCTCCCGTTGTGAGGACTTGCTCCAGACACTAAAGCAAGATACAATTCACTCTTCTTTTCCATATTTTAGTTGATAATAAGGGAAACTTTCACCTTCTCAACATTTTTCAGCTACATAACATGCTTGCTGCTACATTTTATATATCTGCCTTTTAGCAGATGTTCAGATGACGAACAAGTGTTTTTGATGTTTTATGACTGATCTCAAACCATCCACAAATTATACTCCTAGACATAGCCCTGTTTTGTGAAATAAAATAACAAGGCTTTATGAGAATAATTAGTTGCATCGTTTTCTCAATAAACAAGCAGATATATGTCTAAAGCTCTTCGATTATTACTATGGGCCTTACAGAAACAGACTCTTTCATATACAGGTGGGGAAAGATTTAATAGCCCGGTGTGAGGTTTTGTTTGGGAGTATTATTTTGACTATTAACTCACAGGTTGCAAATTGTGGGCACAAAGATTTATTTCAATGTTTTCAAAAATTTGAACGGCCATAAGAAGACACGCACTCCCTAGGATTTCTGCTCCTGTTGTCTTCACTATCATCTGACTCACAGATTTATGTTACTACCTTGTCGTTTTCGACTCTTGTTTTGTGTATGAAATAAGTGTTTGTAATACCTTTTTATTCCCTCTTACTAAAAGTTGGAAGAAAAGAGATAAAATCTTTGGCTTATGTGAATGGTTTTCTTATTTATACATACGTAACACTGCCAGGTAGGAGACTACAGCAACTTATTTTTTGGCAATCTTTCTCATTGCTGATATTGCCATAGTCCGGTATAATTTTTATCTTTTCTTTTTCTGGAAATAGCTCCGTTTGAATAAAAATTCCTGGAAACTGAACAAGTCTTCAAAGAAGCAAACCAAAGGACTTCAAGTGCAACACTGCTCAGTTTCTAGCAACAGGAGAGTCACTATGGGTCATATTTAAGGAGAAAAGACAAACAGTAAAATCGTCCTCCTCCCATTGGCTTTATTTTGTTCGGAAAAATCAAAACATCAAGATCAAATACTAGATAGGCACTTCCTCGAATGCCGATTGCAATAAAGTGCTTTGCACTAGAGATGACCTTTGCCAACTGTTCAAAGTCTCCTTTGCTGTGCCAAATTATGCTTAGCTTCTCTTTTTCATGACTGTGGTAATTATAGGGGTAGTGCTGAAACCTGGTTGAAATCAGCTATTCTCTTTCTGTTATTCTCAGATCACAGGACAAATTCCCAACAGTAAGAGTGACTTCACTGGTTTCAACGATGACCTTAACGCAAATGTCTTCCTTCAGAGCCAGAGCACTGACCTCATAATAGGGAATAAACAAAGAAACAAAAAACCCCTCTGTAACCTACAAGGTTCACCTCCAACTAGTTACCATACTCATTGAAGACATCTTGGCCATGTGCACAAGAAATAACGTCTGTTCCAAAGCAATTCAATACAAAACAATTTTTTTTAAGTTCTCAAATAACCATACTGTTTAATTTGAAGTGCTAATTGACCATGAAGAGTGACAATTAAAAAGCCTAGCTCATTCTGTTTAAACTTTACACTGGGAAAATGGTCACTGAGACTATATAGGCAATTTCAAAACAGGCACTGTAACACAAAGAAAGCAAACCTGTTTGGAGCAGTACGAGAATCTTGCGCTGGATTTTGCTTGCTCTAAGTGACAAATAAAGCTGATGCTCCTATCGAACTGAGTTACAGCAATAGAAAGGGGTAGAAGCAGATGGCACATCTCCCTCACTGTCATGAACCCAGAGAGTAAAAGGAGTGAGGAAACCCTCTTTTGTCCGCAGATTTACAAACAAAAATGAAATATAAATAATATTCTAAGACAGTACAAATGCAAATACTGTTCCCTTGTGTCAATTACATACAGCATGCCTACATATAGAGAATGGTAATTCTTCTTCATTCACAGACAGGACATATGGCAGTGCACTATTCAAAATGCTTTGATAACCCTAATTTTTGTTTCTGGTGCTGAGATATAATGAAAGGAACTGCATTTGCAACTTATTAAATACTTCCAGGAACAAACAGTTCACTTTGTTCGGGACTTGTAGTATTGAGTAATTAATCATCCACGGAGCAAGACCCAGTAAGGAGGTACCCATTGGTACCACTGGTCCCATTGGTGGTAGTCGCAGTGTGGGGGTTCTTCCCTGGAGGTTCTGAGTCTTCTTCATCTGAGCTAGACTCAATATCACTTCGATCATCCTTGGACACCTGTGGAATACAAGAAGATGAATGTAACCGGCTCCTAAGGAATCATTAAGGTACGGCATGGTCAGAAGTACATGTACATGAAGGGACACAGAGCCACATGTTAAAAATCGAAGAAGACAGGAACACTGCCACGATAGTTAGTTCTCCTTCAATGGAGACATGCAATCTGAGTGACAAAGTCAGTTATCAAGGAATGGAATGGAGATGGATTTAGGCTTCACAGGAGCATGTCTAGACATGCTGACTTCTTTAAGGTACCTCTGGACAATGAGAACGTACTAGACCATTTTGGGAACCTGCTGGGTACGGTCTAGTTTAAAATACTTCCCCCACAAAATCTATTGACCAGATCATCATGAATGGGCTTCCATTGTTCCAAAGTTCTTCAATCCTCTACCCAGTCTCATTATATAATGAGGATGGCAAGCTCAGGCACCAGCATATGCATTACCATAAAGGACTCCCCCCAAAAAAGTCACAGTCTAGGAAGGAAGTAATTTAGGGAGAGATTAAGAAAATACTCAACTACTTTTAAAATTAAAATAGTTTGAACCACCTACTCTGTCTAAATGATGGTAAGCATTTTTACCGAATAGGCCTTAAGACCTCTGAGTAACTGAGCACCGTTTACTTATTTTCTGAGTGGGGTGGCAATAGGGACCTGGGGACCTGGGGGGCCTGGCTTCATAGAAGCTTTCCCAAATCTAGTTGCCTAGATTAGTTTCTCTAAGAAGTGCATCAGTAGTCTCCTGAGAGGTGTATCAGAATGAACTGGGGGCTTTTTCCCCCATCACATCCTCTCTGTGCCACCAGTGGCCCCAACTGGAGAAGCCACCTGTTGCTGCAGGACAACACCATCTCTGTCCAGTGGGTGGGGACAAGGTAAGAGCTCAGAACTGTTGCTACTTTCTAACCAGAAACAACCAATCAAATAAATATGGTAAAAATGGACTTCATGCCAATGCCCCTTGAGAGGAGACTGAACACACAAGAACCACCTCCAAGATGATTTAGATACCAAAAGACCAAAGGGACTGAATTATTTTCGATACTTGAACTTAAAAAAAAAAAAAGGCAAATGTGGGTCACCAAGACAGCATAACAGTAAAGCTTCACTACACTGAGAAATCCACTGGTCAAAAGTCACTAATAAGAAAGAAAATGCCAGTTTCAGAGAGTGACCGATTTACATTTGCATGCTTAGTAAGATTATTTGCAATTGCATTTGGAAAAAAGTCTATACTTATGTTACTTTCAAGGAAGGGAATAATTTAAAACGTCTCAAAATAACTCCTAAAACAGTTAGGAGTCCGTAACCCACGGCCAAGATGAATCTGTCGTAGGTGAACTGCAAGGGCAGTTATGATATTCTGAAGCCTGACATCCGCAATGAAATTAACAATCGTCTCTCCTTAAGATTGAAGGAACAATCTGGAGAGAAGACCAGAGGTCTGGTGGAAACAGCAATGCAATAAGGATACAAGTAATCGAATTCACCTGCGTCCTCAGTTATTGGTACCATGCTGATAGCATTGTTTATGTTGATGTCATCTGTATCCAGAGGAGGAAAAGGAGTGTTTTTTTTTTTTTTTTTAACAGAAACACACTGCTCATCTTAAAGAGTAAGAGGTCACAGAAAAAAAAAATCAACTTCCACCTCTAAACTATTAATTCATCAAAATATTTTGGATTTGTATAAGAGCTGATGCTGAGAACTGGCTGCACAGTACATGATTGTGATGTCCTGAGCCCCATGGAAGGAGCCAGCTCCATTTACCTATTATCTCACCGAGGACAAGGTAGTCAGGGCAGACCAGGGAACAGCTGATGCACAGGCCTCCATTCTGGACCATGGGGATCCTCTCTGCAATTTAGTTCTGCTTCTACTTCACTTTTGTCTATTTCTGTTTTTTTTTTTTTTTAAGCAAACATGTTAAACACAAATGAAAATATTCCTCTCCTTCTGTTGGAACATTGGAAAATTCAGCAGAGTGCAAGCTCACACAATGGGTCCTCACTGAGCTGTTTCTAGTATCCTTTGTACCTGGTGGGAGCTACACTTCAGTTAAAGCCTCTGGTCAGTGCCAGCTGATTAGCTGGAGCAATATGCAGGGAAACAAAAGCATCTGAGGGCCCCTCCAACAGGCTGAAGTGGCACCCAGAACAAGGACAGAGAGAGAGGTATGAGGAACTTACATGTAAAGGGTTCCACTTCCCAGCCTTCCACGGTAGCAGAAGGAAGAGAATAAACAATGAAAGTAAGAAAATGTCACAGAGAATGTTCTGGAATGTTCTGTTTCACTGCTCCCAAGAAACATTATTTGAATCAGCTTCATGAATCCACATTTAAACAAAGAAATTTAATTAAATTTTCTTGGAAAAATCATAAATGGGGATATTGCATCAAGCAACCCTTCTCATAAAAGGGAAGATGTTATTAAATTTCTGTTCGGTACAAGTTTAATCAGAGAAGGATCATGGGAGACAGAGGGAGAGAAAGAACACAACAAATAACATGGCATCATTAAACCTAAAATTATAAATGCAGATCGGTGGGAGTCATCAGCCAAGCAATGCTACAACTTAAAAAAATTAAACAGAAGAAAATGAAAATTTGGTTTGTGTTTCCAGGAGTTTATGATAAATTAATGAAGGAAAAAATACAAGTTTTCATGAAATTTGAAATAACAATGTTATTGTTGATTAGGAAGAACCAAAACACATAATTTTCTGGGACATATCAGAAACAGTTAAGTTTGACCTTACCTTGCCTTTTGAAATAGCTTTGCAAGCTATTTTTACAATCAAGTAAGACCAGAAGCAGTTCAAGCCTTGGATTAGCAACAGCAGTAGATTAAAAACCCACCAGGAAGGGTAAGGTCCAACGATCTCCCAGCTTTCAAATAACGTGGTATTTAACACCCTAAGGAAAAAAGAGAAAGTGATCACGGAACACAGCTTTCCCTCTGCTTTCAAAGGAACTTCATTTACTGCACAGAATCTCAAAGCCAATGATACCCACTACCGGTCCCACCCTGCAAGGACGGTCTGAAGTCTGACCAGGTACCTAGGAGAGTCCTCATTGGAACGATTTCCCTGGTGTCCTAACATTCATTTAATTCTAGCCTGAACCACGTGCTTCCGCTCCTCTTTCACGGGCTGTCATTTCTTCTGTTAATTTCCATCATATATCTGGTCGTGATTCTCTCTCTTGCTACTTGTTAAAAGGCCTGTTCCGTCTTCAAAGTTACTTTTTGTCTTTAAGGGTGAGGAATACCATTCAACAACATAACAGTGCAAGAAAAAAAAAAGGTTAACTAATTCCAGAAATGCTCGTTAGTAAGTTTAAACTGTATGTGTAGCACAGTGGTGCTTAGACCTAATCCCTGTCCTCAAGTGGTTTACAGTCTAGTTGGCGAGACCCTACAACATACTTAATTCTGTAAGCCTTCCTCTGGGAAAGTGACAATTGAAAGATACCATTTTGAAGTGATGCTTGAGTATTGGAATGGTTTTTTAAAAGATTTTTTTATTTGAGAGAGAGTGTGTGTGAGCGAGTGAGCACACAAGCAAGGGGAGGGGCAGAGGGAGAAGCAGACCCCCCAGTGAGCAGGGAGCTGGACAGGGGCAGGTGGGGAGCATGGGCTTGATTCCAGGACCCTGAGATCATGACCTGAGCAGAGGGCAGACACTTAACTGGCTGAGCCACCCAGGCACCTGGAATGATTTAAAAAAAAATTATTTGGATATAAATGGACGTCATTTTAAGAGTGTATACATGAGGTAGCAAACGTATTTGAAGTAGTTGGTTCTCTCAGTAATCTACCATCAGGCCAGGATGGAGGAGCGGCCACCTGGGGCAGGTACATGAGGGCTGGTTTCAGTGCTGTGCTCTTGTCTTTGCTCTGCTTTCTCCTATGCCTTTAGAAGTTGATTCATGCCTCCTGGACTCTGTTGCTGCCATAAGAGAAGTGCGGTACCCACAGAATTTTGCAATCACTCTGGCTTCCTTGCTTTCCTCCTTAGCTTACAGCAGGACTTTGGAGATCTAAGGATGTTGGCAGAACTCATCTAAGTGTATCTCCACCATCTGCCACTGCAGCGCTTGCTGGGACCCTGCTGGAGATGCTAGGTGGACAACACTTAGTGGCTAAGGGGTAGGGATGGAAACCTTGTAAGACACCGAGCACTCCTGCAAGAACAGAAGGCAGGTATACAGAAAATTTTAATATAAGAAAGAATGTGATGAGTGCTTTGAGAGAGGTTAAGTACTTTGTCAGGTCACAAAAGGAAAAAACCTCCCTTGATGTGCAGTTGAGATAAGAGGAAAAGAGAAAAGGAGAGTGAACAGTAGACCCAAACAGGCTCCCCATCCCTAGTTTCAGCAACCCACGTTTACAGGCAATGAGATGCACAGAGTGTGTCTGTAATCCTGTCACACTGGTTGTCTCTCAAAACAATGAACAATAAACATGGATGCTAAAATCTCAAAATCAATAGTATGGCATTAAATTTGACAATTCATTACAAGTACATTACTCTACATTATAGAATTCATTCTGGTGAAAGGGGACAATATTAGGAAATCTATTAATATAAATGTATTACACGCCCATAGGCCAAATTGGGACAAACCTAATTATTTAAAAAACATTGAAAGACATTTGGTAATGTTCAATTCCCCACTGCTGATGTTTAAAAACTAGAACTAAAAGGATTTCCTTAATATGATTTTTATTCAACTCAAGTCAGCCATTGTCATCATATTTAACAACACCGAATTACTGCCTTTGTAATCTGGTACAAACCACAGCCAGCCAGCATCACCAGTATTACTTAACACTGTTTGGAAAGTTCTGGCCTTGAGTATGGTAGAAAATCAAAGACTTCATTTCAAATATATAAACATTAAATTTCTATAACTGTTTTTGAAACAGCAATCAAAATTTCCAATAATAGGGAATGGTTAAGTAATTAGTTTTTATTCTTATTCCAGAAATTATGAACTCCCTCAAGAATTAAACATGTTTCAAGAGTTTCTTATGATAGAGAAAAATATGTACTATCACCTCAACTTCATAAAATAAATACTGTTGACCCGTGAACAACATAGGTTAGGTATACCAGCTTTCTATGCCGTCAAAAATCTGCGTATAACTTTTGGCTCCCCTAAAACTTAGCTACTAATAGCCTTCTGTAGGATGGAAACCTTACCAATAACATAAAGAGTCAATATACATTTTGTATATTATATGTATTATATACTGTCTTATTACCATAAAGTTAGCTAGAGAAAAGAATTAAGAAAATAATAAGGAAGAGAACATTTATTTAAGTACTGTATTTATGGAAAAAAAATCCATATATGAGTGGGCCCATGCAGTTCAAACCTATGCTGTTCAAGGGTCTACTGCAATTGTACATATATGCACACAGAAAAAAATTGTAATTCCTTGAAAGGAATTAAAGCCATTATAGACTTTCTTTGGTACATTAGGGAATTTTGCATTTTCTTTACATTCTTTTTTCCCCCCAAATCCATTACAAATAATTAGAAAGAGCCCCACAAGTTATTTGTAAGAAGGAGCACATTAGGATAAGCCTATATTCTAGCCTTGTTTATTATCCCAAGAGACAGCCATCTTTTTAAAAATTTATTTATTTATTTATTCATGAGAGACAGAGACAGAGAGAGAGAGAGAGAGAGAGAGAGAGAGAGAGAGGCAGAGAGACAGGCAGAGGGAGAAGCAGGCCCCATGCAGGGAGCCGGACATGGGACTGGATCCCGGGTCTCCAGGGTCAGGCCCTGGGCTGAAGGTGGCACTAAACCGCTGAGCCCCCCCGGCTGCCCACAGTCATCTTTTTAAACACCAGTTTGCAATCCAGAGGACAACAGATCTAAACAGGGCTCAACTCCATGGCAGTAAGGGGAGGGCTCACACACCTTATGCTTTTCTATCTCTAGCACCTTGCAAAACACCCAGGAGTAACATGCTCACTAGACATGTTGGTTGATTGTGTGTTTGTTTAGTAATCAAGTAAATAGGCATGTACAAGACAGCTTTGGAATAAATCAGTTTTATTCCAGAACTAGCTCTGCTTCCTGATACAGTGTATGTTTTGACATTCAGAAGGAATCTAGTTTCATTTGAACAGAAAGAGGTCCTGTAGAAATGGCGACAATGGCTGCATTATGCTATTCATTAGAAATCTGAAAATCCTTTGCTGGATTATAGGTTGAGAGCCTTTCTCACCATTATGATTTGCTTGGCTTAATTTGAACAGGTGTCATGCAGTCACTGGTGACATGGCATTCACATTAATTTCTGAAATACGACATCAGAATTCATAGGCTTTGCCATGACAGTCGGTGGCACCTCTGAGATACTGCTCCAAAGTAATGGGATTTCTTTGAAAATTGACTTGGATGCCTGCAGAGACACTTGGGAAAATACAATCAGTGCACCAAGTGGCTATGTCTCTCAGTGAGAGAAGCTTGGTAAGGAAAACAATATGTTAGGAATTTAGACTGGGGAGAGGGATATCATTTTGCCAACTCGACTCTGAAAAACAGCAAACCCAGGAAATGGGGCCTTTGTTTAGCTACAGAATATTTGATAAAGAAATTATTCCTTTTTGGGCAAACTGTTGAAATGGTGAGTGCAAGATTTTCTCCTTTCTCAGAGGTCAGGGTTAGGAGTATATATATACTTTAATGATGCTATTGCAAATTTATGGTGACGGAGTTCTAAAGAGGGGTTAGATAAGCACTGATAGAGGGAAGCTTCCGGGATGCAGGAAATGTTCTAGATCTTGAACTACATGGTAATTATGCAGATTATATCTGCATAAACTATAAATGTAAAAATGTATCAAGCTAAACACTGAACAGTTATGCACTATATTACATATGTGAATTATACCTCAATAAAATAAAATGGAAAAAGTCCTCTGTAGGCCAAATGCCACCAAATTGCAACCGCTGGCTTGCATAATTACCCTAATTCGTAGGGTATTTTCCCTCTACAGTAATTTGGGTTTGACATATGGCTTCTAAGAAAATAGATTTTTTTTCCTTTCCCAAATAATAGCCTATAGCGTCAACCCTCCTGCTGCTGCTCATATCATGTGGTGGAGAGGCTGGAGGCATTAAGGCAGCAGAAAGGGCCATTTTTCCTTTTCATTAATTTAGGCTCACTTAGCCACTAGATGGCACATCACGCATGTACAAAACATGCTCAAATAGGTCTATTCTGCCAAAACTGTCTGCCAAGGTATGGATCCAAGGACAAAAAGCACTGGATCTTTGGGTTACACTTTGACACTCTCCTTTCTAAGAATCTTGCTGAACAATGGAATGAGGAAGCTTCAGTCTGCAGTTATTTCTTTCTGCATGATTCTTGATGCAAATGCATGCCTGCAGGGCCAAGAGGAGCTCCCTGCAATTCATTGGTGATGTGCAGATGCACCAGTTACCACCCCAACAGATTAGCCTTGATGAGTTTTTTTAATGGATGTTTAATGAATCATAACAATTTAATTTGATTATGCCTTAGAGTTACTTGTATTCATGCTTACCTTTTATGGATTCTTCATATTAAATTAATTATCACAGAAATACTATTTAGACTGGGGGCGGGGATAGATACATGCATGCAGAAGAGGGAAGTTTACAACCTTTTTGTTTTAGCAAAGAAAACACCATAGTCTCATTTTAATATGATATTTAAGGACTTATATTCTAAGCACTAATGTGACTTCTGCTTTCTCCTTAAGCCCCAGAGTTCTGATACACAGCGCAGTACAGAAAGACCTCCACTGTTTTCTCATTTGGAAAAGCTATGACCAATGTTTCTTCACTCTTCTTTTCTTTTCTTGTTGTTGTTGTTTTTTGTTTGTTTTGTTTCTTCACTCTTATGACTG